AGTTCATCTAAAAGAATACAATATTCTAAGTTAGTTTTTTGTTATTCTAGTATATTGTATTTTGTTGCAATAGTAAGTCTTTTCTTACTCTACTATATTGTATTTTGCAACTATTAGGATGAATTTTTATTAGGATGGTCAAGATTGTTAAGTTGGGTTTGGTCTTATGATAGTGTTTCATGATATTGTTCCATGCTAAGGTTCAGTGATCTTGTAAGATTCAAAATTAGGAATTGGGTGGCCAAGATTATGATAGTATTTTACATGAGACTTCGTGATCTTGTAAGATTGAATATCATTATGCATGTCCTTTATTTTATGTTTATAAGGTAGTATTTTTATACATACATTGAAAGTTAGTAGATAAGTTCAATTAGTGTGACCGGACAACTAGTAGATAAGCTCTAGGTTGAGAGTAAAACTAGTATGATTCTTATATGTTATACTCTTCCACCTTATCTTGCTCATAATTCTTTTGGATATATTACTTATTACATTTGTGACTAAAAATTTTGATATGTAGTTGATGTAGTAAACATGTTGTTTACTATTGTTTAAAGAAAATTTGGTCATTTGATTTTTGTTAATTTTTTAAATCTTTAAATTTTCAATTCATTCTCTCTTAAACTTAGTCATTATTTCCAAAAATTGGTTTTAATATCAAATTTTTTAAAGATATTCAAGCTTTAAAAAAATGATTGAGAATAAACTTATGTTTTTTTTTGTGTGCTTCTACTAATAGATAACTTATGTTTAACAAGGTGAAGTATCAATTATGAAAATAATGGTAAAAATTTTTATTTAATGAATTGATAGGGGTATTTGAGATGTTATTGTCAATGATTTATTTATTCTTATGATTTGGACAAATGATATGTAGAAAAGGAAACCTTGGGCATAATAAACTAATTCTGAGAACAATGATTTAATACAAAGAATATCATAATGTATGCTTTGAATCTTTGAGTTTTTTTGTCTCTCAATGCACAAGTGGAAAGGAAATGTCTGATACTTTAGAAGTCACTCATGAAAGCACGATTAATATAAATAGTGTTGTTTCAATAGTATGAGTTATTTCATAAGCAACATAGAGAATCCATCAAGGATGTGTAAAGAAGTTTTACTCATATCATCAACCATTTGATAGGTCTTGACAAGATGTTTGAAAGGAAGGATTGAACATTAAGATTATGAAATTTCTTTATAGAAGTTGACATTCGAAAATAACAATAATCTCATAATCAAATGATTGTTACTTCTCTATTTGAAAAATAATAAAGTATGAGCTAAAAATGAATAAATCAATCGAGCAAGAAAATAATAAGAAGAAGAAGAAACAATTAGCACTTAGGCCATGATTCACGTGAGACTTTGTGATTTTGTAGGGTTTAAGATTAGTGTGTATGTCCTTTCTTTTGTATTTATAAGATAGGGTTCTTCTACATGCATTGAAAGTTGGTGGATACGGTCAATTGGTGTGATTAGGCAACTAGATATAACTTTTTGGTTGATGATCAACTAATATTATTCTTGTTTGTTCTATACTTCATCTATATTTTGATTTTATATTCTATGGTTATATTACTTGTTGCATTAGCAATTAACAACCTTGTGATATAGTTAATCCAATAAACATATAGTCTAATATTGTTCAAAGAGAAATTAATCATTTAATTTTTGTTAAATCTTTAAAATTTCAATCACCTACTCTCTTGAACTAAATTGTTATTTTCAGAAATGTCTAAATACAAGATATGGTAAAATATGTTCAAAGAAACTACTAATACATAAATTAGTCTTTAAAAAATAACACCAATAAATAAATAAAAAATCTCATGTTAAATTTTGATCTCAATGTTAGCAAAGTTTGAGTTGTAATTAAAAATAATATTATTATATATAAAAATTACTATATTAAATAATGGGAATTCATTCATGTTTGTAGCTTTTATGGAAAGTTTTAGATAAGCTACTAAATATGCATTCCATAAAAAATAGTATTATTCCATTCAAAAAGATATTTTTATAGTATATTTTTTAAATTGCTTTTTTCTATTCATTTATACATAAGTAAATTATGAGATAATGTGTATGAGTATTGAAAGAACAAGTTATCTAGATTTTTCAAATGATAGCGTCTAACATACTATATCATCTGATAAAAAAAAAAAAACAATTTTCACAAGACTTTAAAAAATAACTTAACAAAAGATTGAATGCATAAGTTTGTATGTATGAAAAAAAGATAAGAACACTTATTTTTATACTAGTTGGATTAGGAGTAATTCCCTTTCAAAACATTTTGAAAAGATTTAATTATAATAAACAAGATGACAATAAATATTCTATATTATCATTTTTAGCTTACAAAGTGTGTATAATGTCAATTTATCAACCTCTTTAATTCCTCCTTTTAAAAAATCAATACCCTTTTGTCACAAAGTCACTTAAGACTTTGATGAAGACATCAAGCCTCTCTAGATGATTTATAAGAAGGCTTATTCTCAATGAGAAGATATATATTACAAGTTTCTAGAAACGACAGATTACACAAATTGAAAGATTTTCAATAATAATTTCATCTTAAGAGCGACATAAAATAAACTTAGATTGTACAAAATTTTGTTCGCAAAGAATATCGTTATTCATTCTTATTTTCTTTTATTCATGAAAGCATACCCTTTTATAAACATCTTGTATAAAATAGTTGCTGTGATAAATCTGTTATGAAGTCAACTTGGTTTAGATTTTAACATGTGTACATATTAACTATATTAAATATAATATAGATAATGTTATAAGTTACAATCTTTAACAAGCACCAACTGAAATAATTTTTAAGAATTTTATGGAAAATTATTTAGATAATTTCTTTTCCTTCACATATTGATATTAGAATGATCTCGAGATAAAACTTCCTCTTAAGATAATTGTTTTCGAACAAGCAAAATTTTTGGATTAAAGAAATGTTAATTAAAATGTGATTCTCTTTGTCTTTATATCTTACAAGTTGTGTATAGAATGAAGGAAAACAAAATCAAATGATCAAATCTTTCATTATTTTTAGATATTCTCACGTCTTAAGAAAATAAAATATATGTGTTAATAAATTAATTAATCATAATTTTAAATGTAAAAATAACTTTTGTTTCGTGAGAAATTTTTAATTTTACACAATATTTTTTTTAAATAACATAATTTATATGAATTTAGAATTTCTTAAATAGTTTTTTCATAAATCTTGTAATAGATTTATTATAATATTTAATATGTTACAAATATTAGAAGAGTCTACAAAGGTTGACAAACAATAATATTTAAAAAATAACTAAATATATAAAATTCAAAATTATAATTTTTTAATATCTCACATCCATTTTTCTTTATATATGTATAAATCCTCATTAAAAAACTTTTATTCAAAATAAATATATAAGATTCAAAATTACAAGTTAAGTTAAAAATAACTCTGCGTTAAAAAAAAAAAATACTCCCACAATCTTATGTATATGTTTTTAAATAACTTCATTACTAAAAGAAGATTTCATAGATTTTAATAGCCGTTTCACCATTAAACAGGCTTTTATTTATAATATATTTTATTGCGTGTATAGTTTACTGTTTGCATAATCATTAATTAAACTACATTTAAATAAGTTTAACTTGTTTATTTTTAAGCTGTAAAAAAACTTATTAATTAAATTATTTGATGTCATCTAATAAATTTAAAATTAAATTATATTAAAGTTACGACTTTTTCTAAAATTTAGAAACTAAAATTGAGAAAAAGGCCAAAATTACAAAAAAAAAATCAAAATTAAAGATTAATCTTTTATTTCTTACTGGAATATCCAGGTTCATAAAAAAATATATTTCGTTCTAAAATCTGACAGTTTTATATACTCTAATCCACTCATTAATCAACAGATTAAATTGATGAATGACACCCACGTCACAGGTCATTCACAGTTCAACTGAAGAACGGAACAGTGCAATTGAATTGAATTGAATTTAAGACGTTACATTCAACGAATTTGTAATTATTCTACGCGGAAAGCACACAGGGCACAAGGTAATAAGTCCAAAATTCGAAACTGAAAGAAAAGATGTGAAGCCCAGTGAAGAAAATTGAATTGAATAGATAAACGGGAGAAAGAGAGAAAGCAGTAGTAAAAGTGAAGCTGAAATGGGTAGGTCTAAGAAAATATTAATTAAAGCTGAAATAAGGGATGAAAAAGAAAAACAAAGGTCTTCGTGTGGGTTCCACCTTCAAATCTGTGACAGAGACAGCAGTTTCATTTCTCAGCTCCTTTTCCTTTGTGCATTTTGCTTATTTAAACCAACTCCTCGTTCTTCTACTTCTCTCTCGCAAGAGCTACAAATATTATAATATATGTTTTATTTTCTCTCTTGTTGCTCAGGTTATAATAATATATAAATATTTTATATATATTCTCTAAAGTTGGAAGCTTTGTATTCTTATGTATGATGGTTGTGTTGTGTGAAGTCTCAAGAGAAGCAAAGTCCTCTCTTTCACACCTTTCAGTCTCAAAACCGAGGGAAGAAGAATCTAGGGTTTAGCACCACCAAATTCGTCAGGTCTGTGCTTTGGTGCTTTTTCTGTTTTTTCTGTCACTGGAAGATTGGGTTGATTTTTTTTTTTTTTTAGAAGAGGATATGCTGCAACCTGTGAGGCACCCTGGGTTTATTCTGATTCAACGGTTGTTCTTTGTTTCGAAAAAGCATACCTTTTTTTCTTCGTTAGTTGGAATTTTGAAACTTTAACTTAAAAATCCTGTTTCTGTGGCTCCTTGTCTGGTTAGAAAATGGGATTTTTTCCATCTGGGTCGTTTTATCTGCCACGCAAGGCTGAATGTCTGATATGTTGGTGGATAAGTGGGAGGTTGTTTTGTTAGTATTCTGGTTAGGTGGCTTAGTTCTGCCCCTTGTTTGGGGACTTAAGTTTTTTTTTGTCTGTTTTATTTTTTATAGAGACTAATATGGAAGAGGTTGAGCAAGCTAATAGAGCAGCTGTTGAAAGCTGTCATAGGGTTCTGAGTTTGTTGTCTCAACCAAGAGATCAGGTTCAGCATAGGAATTTAGTGGTGGAAGCTGGGGATGCTGTGGTGAGGTTCAAGAAGGTTGTGTCCTTGCTTCATATTGGTTTGGGTCATGCAAGAGTGAGGAAGGTTAAAAACCCGCTAGTCCCCTTTACCCACCACAGTATCTTCTTAGACAACCCAAATTGCAAAACCAACGACCATCACTCAAAAAATCTGCAGTTATCCCAAACAAGCTTTCCTGACAATTCAATTCAGGAACTGGGGTCAACCACTAAACATTCACTCTCTCTTGGACAGCCCTCTTTGGAATTGAGCTCCAGTGGGAAAAGTCCGCTTCACCTCACTCAGCAGGCTTCATCAACTCACTATCACTTCTTTCAGCAACACCAAAGGTTGTTGCTCCAGCAGCAACAGCAACAACAGCAGCAACATATGAAGCATCAAGCAGAAATGATGTTCCGAAGGAACAACAGTGGCATAAACCTGAATTTTGACAGTACTAGCTGCACACCAACAATGTCATCTAACAGGTCTTTTATTTCTTCCTTGAGTATAGATGGAAGTGTGGCTAACTTGGATGGAAGTGCCTTCCATTTAATAGGAGCTCCACTCTCTTCTGATCACAATTCGCAACAGCACAAGAGAAAATGTGCAAGAGGTGATGAGGGCAGCTTGAAATGTGGGAGCAGTTCTAGATGCCATTGCTCTAAGAAGAGGTAACACATATGTGACTAATTTCTGTTACATCAAATGTTTTTATTTGTCCTTTTAATCTGTCATTAATAATTCTGTGTGTTCCCCACAGGAAACATAGAATGAAGAGGTCAATTAAGGTGCCTGCTATTAGCAATAAACTTGCAGATATTCCTCCTGATGATTATTCGTGGAGGAAGTATGGCCAAAAGCCAATCAAGGGCTCTCCTCATCCTAGGTTTGTTCTAGCTCTGCTTTCAGAGATTTGATTGATTAATGGGACACCACATGAATGTAGTTGTGCTTTGCAAAACTTTAAAAGTATGTTGCTTTTTGTATAATTATGCTGTTTGGTGTGTATTTATGATTCTATCATTCCGTTTTACAGCATTGGAGTTAAGTGCATACGAGGATGATACAATAGCGTGTAGGCCATTTTTTTGTTTTTTATTCTTTATTTTTATGTCCCTGATATTTTGATTGGTATTCCTTTGTCTGTGTTAGAATTTTTTGGTTGGTTGTTATTCGGGCTGATTAGAACAATGTAGACTTGAGGTGATTGAAATTGTCTTTATATATATATATATATATATATATATATATATATATATATATATATATATATATATATATATATATATATATATATATATATATATCTTCTGTGATACGTAAGTAGCCCAACATCTTTTAGCACAAAGCTTGTATGTAGTACCATGCTATAGATTAGCAAGAGAACTTTTTCATGGATCTTCTATGTCTTGAAAATATGTTTGAGAAATTATTTTAGCAATTTAGTAGTCTTGGCACAAACTCCTTCCTGTAGATAACTGTAAGGTTCGCTCTATGGTTTGCACCTTTATTGGTAAACCAGGTGAAGGTGAACCACATGTTTTATGTTTGAGGAAATTGACCTTAATTGCTCCTTTTTAATTTTCAGGGGATACTATAAATGCAGCAGCATGAGAGGGTGTCCTGCTAGGAAGCATGTTGAGAGGTGCTTGGAAGAGCCGACCATGCTAATTGTTACCTATGAAGGCGAACATAACCACCCTAAGTTACCAACGCAATCTACAAATGCATGATCTATGTGAAGAGCTTAATCAAGCCCATCATTCAATTTGTCAAAACCTGTGTGATTGGCTTGAAATGCTGCTGTACATATTTTAAGTGATGCAAGCAGGGATGGATATTGTTGGCGCCGATTTTGGCTTTTGGATAGTTTGGCTAACCAGCCATTTATTTAGAGAGGGTGAAGATGAGGATCACTGATTAAATGAAACAAAGTCTGTAAAATTGTCTTGTTTCAATTCCTAAGAACTATTTCATCTTTCTTTAGCCTGTTATAAACATCTCAGGATTATCTAAATGAATGAAGTGCGTTTGAAAAATGGTTTTGTTCTTAAAATTTAGATGAGCCTAACTCAATTCCGAAAGATGAGATATATTGTATGACTTGATATTTGTGAGTGGTGATAGTTCTAACAATGTCTTCTAGGATAAGCTAATAAATAATTCTTTGAAAGGTATATCAACTTAGGCCAATTCAAGAAAGACATGGCATAGCACCTGCAAGTGATAGTGGATGCCAACAAGTTTGGTAACTACCGATATTCCTTTTCATCTACGTCGTAGTTTGAAGCTGTTTTAGGACCATTAAGTCCCTTGATGGATGATAGATGTCGTGTAATAATTCAAAGTTGGACTTTTGAACAGAGTGAAATGAACGACACACCCTTCTTGATTTGCATTATCTACATGGAAAGTTTCATTCGGTTTGTTAGTTCCCCTAACAGAAGTGTGTCTTGGTTTGTGCAAGTTTCTCAGCAGAGCATGTGAGTTGCGGGGGGACCAATATGGGCATTCATGCTCGATCATTGTTTTCTTGGGTCCAATACCAACTGTTATCATTCTTATTAGAGAATAAATTCTACCTTTGCCTTCACTGCCCCCAACCATTACCCTTTTATAATCAATTACTCTTTTCAATTCATATAAATGACCCAATAGTCACAACTACAACAAAGACAACTTATGTTATTTTTTTGTGATATGAACTCAATTAAAATTTTATCTTAGTGCCAGTTTGAAACCTTGTCATCTTAAATTATGATTACGCCAATTCCATTTACGTCAAGTAAGAAGCAACTAAGTATAACTTTTATGTTTTTTTAATATTTTGACGTGAAAGGTATTCATATGTTAAAGAAGTGTAACCAAGAACACCCTTAGTAGTATTTTATCATGATTATTACCAAACTCACCTCATGTGAGATTGTCTTTGTTTAATAATTGCTTTTTTGAGTTTGAGATTTAGATATATAATTGCGTGTTAATTATTCGGATAAAAGTACTTTATTGTTTTACAGTAGTTCTATTCTATCTAATTCGAATATCGGGTTTGAATGAAAAATATTTGTAACAGAGTAATAATGTCTCAGGTGACCTGACAAATTTTGGACTTGGTTTGGGAAGAAAAATGGAGGCCGTGTAATATGGTTCAATTCCAACCTTGGATGAATGAGGGTAAACATTTTGTTTCAACACATTGATGATGATGATAAAAAAGGTAGTATGTGATGTGTTGTGCTGTGTGAACTATCTTTGGTGGTGGTGTGGTAGACTAAACCACAATACTGAATATGGGTCAAATCAGGAACAACCACGCAACACACACTATCGCATTAAGTCTTTCATTACTTACACCCTCACGCAAGACAAAACCACCAATCACTCATTCTTTCTTCCTATCTTTGCTCTGATAATGTTTCACTGCACATAAAGTCATTTTTAGCTTTTTCATCCTCACTTTCTTCAAAGTATCTTTCTTTTTAAATGTTATTTTTAACTATAAAATATTATCTCGTTTTGTTACTTCTTATATTAAAAAGTTGAGATAGATATGTCTTTTATATATGTACTATTTCTTGTTCTTTCAAAATTGATAAATTTAATTTTTCAATCATTGAATATATATGATTTTAATTTTTTTAGTATATCAACTTAATATTTAGTGATGCTTTTTTACTATTATGAAATTTATAGGATGACTAAATTCATAAAATATACTATTTAATTATTTTTATATCTAAATTTAATATTTAATAACAGTGAAAGGTTGATTGGATTTTCTCAAATAGATGAGAAAAGAAAGTTTTTTATGTGTCAATTAATTGGTTTGAGTCCTATAGGGTGAAACTTACATTTTATCGTATTCTTCGTTTTTCTCAAGTATTTTGGACGTGTTAAAAAAAATATTAAAATAACCTCATCTTACTTAAATAATTTATAGAGTTTTAAAATAGATTTAATTTGATAAATTAACTTGAAAAATTTATGATATAAATTGAATTAGACCTATTTTAATATGATTCATTTAGGCCAAATGAGCTTAAGTCATGCTAACCTGTAGGTTTATTGACTATCCCATTTTATAGAATAATAATTATTTTTTAAATACAAATAAAAATAATTTTTTTTAAAACTATATATGTATTATAAATTAATTTAATAAAAAAATCATTTAGTTTAAGAGTAAATACCAGAGTAAGTCTTTAATAACTATCTAACACTTAATATTGATTATTATTTTAGATTACTAAATTACTAAAAATATAATGGAGAATAAGTTTTTAACTCTTATTTTGAGGTTAAATAAATCCATTCTCTTATCATTTATATATTGAATTATTATATCTTAAATAAAACTAACTTCATAAATATAATTTAAAATTTAAATTTTTTTTTATTTTTTAAATATATTTTAATTATATATATATGTTAATATTTTTTATTTAATTTTCAATCGGGTCAAAATTAGTCTATTATTCATAGGGATGACAAAACCGACAAGTCTCGTCCCGTTTTGGTCCCCATACCTCCGACCTAAAAAAATGGGATAGGACGGATCGATCTACCATTGTTAGGACGAACTACAGATCCCAGCTCGCTCGCGCAAAGGGAGGACTGGCAAGCCAGCGGGCTAGTCGGCCAATAATTTTTTTTATATATATTTTTAAAAGTTTTTATTTATTAATCAATATTTTTATTAGATAAATTAAAAAATTATTAGATTTATATATTAAAATACCTACTTATAATTAATAATTTAAATTTAATTAATTACTTTTTGTAATTTAAATTATAATATATTTAGATATCTCAATAATATAAAAAATATATAATATTTTTAATTATAATTATTTTAATTTTAATATATAAATATTATTGTAAAGAGAGTTAGCGAGGCTAGCCCACCCACCTTACCCTTGACCCGTCAAATTGGGCTGGACAGACCAAAATGGGCTGACGGGCTAAAACTATTAACCTGCTCATCATTTTTTAGGGGGCTGGCGGGCTGACTAATCGGACCTAGTTCGTTTGTCATCCCTAATTAGTCCATTGGTGTAACATAGTTCAAATTAGGTTAAAAATTATGGCGGGCTGACTAATCGGACCTAGTTCGTTTGTCATCCCTAATTAGTCCATTGGTGTAACATAGTTCAAATTAGGTTAAAAATTATGGTTTGTTTTAAAATATAGATCAGATTAGATTATCGGACTTGAACTACCCATTTTGATATAATTACATTACAAAAATTAGTTTTCTTAATATAAATTACGTTACAAAAATTACTCCCCATCAATAATAATTATATAAAATTTTATTAGAAAAAAAAGATAGGAGTAGGAAAAATAAAATAGCGATGCAAATAGTAGCTCTTATCTTTATATCCATTGCCCATAAAATTTGATCTGAAACCTTGAGTGAATATTTGTTCTGAAGCCTTGAGTTAACATTAGTCCATAAATACTAAAATATATGATTAACTACAATAATGACTCATAAAAAGTAGTGATTAAAACAATAATATAAACCTTAAAAAAATAATCTCACTATTTTGTCAAATTGTAAGCATAAATGAGACCTTGCAAAGTTTTCAAAAGAATGGAGCTTCTGTACTAACTCAAAAACACGACCTCTAATGCTAAAAATGAACTTGGATGACATAAATAGATGCTAACTTACATCAAAGATATAATCCTGAAAATTGAAAGTATTTTTAATCCAAAAAATAATAAAAAGGTACAATAATTTTATAAGTAATTTGATAAAAAAGAAAAAAAAACTACACATGCATATATATAAAATAATAAAAAGTATGTAATAAAATAAGAACTATGTAAAATATAAAGTAATTTAATCTTTTACTTATCCAAATGAGAAAAGTACGGCTAATCATGATGTAGATGAATTTACTTTTTAAAAGCAACTTGTTTACACGAATTGGGATTATAATAACAAATAATTTTAATTATATACTTGATTAAATATGTAATTTTAGTTTTTTTTTAAATATAGTTCTTTAATTTTTTTATTATCCATAAATTTATTTTTTTTAAATTCTTTCAGGTAATACTAATTCTTCAATTTTTAATTATTCATAACTTTATTTAATTTTTAGTTAAAAAAAAATCACATTAAATTTTACAGTTGGACCGTCTTCAGTTAAGTAAACAAAAAAGTCACAAGTATTATGTCCAATTTCATTAATTAAGATAATTAAACTAAAAATTCAACAAATAACGGATAACTAAGATTAAAGATTTAAAATATATAGATAAACTAAAAAACCAGATCTATGGATAATTAAAATTTTTAAAACTACAATTATGAAAAAAAAATTATGAATTTCATAAATTATAAGAATTAAAATTACAATTAGACCTACAACCAAAATTTAAGACTTGTATAATTTATTTCTGTTTTCTAATTTTTAAAAATTATTTCAAAAAATAGTTCTACAAATTTATTTTTAAAAAATAATTGAAAAATATTTATTTGATATTTTTAATTTGAAAATCATTCTAGATACATTAAAGACAATAATCTTAGTAAAAGCTATAAAATAATTTTAATAACTTTACAAAATTGGATGATATAATATAATTACTAATAGAAACATGAATATATTAATAAAACTTATTTATTTTTTATCAATTTGAATTTTTATTTATTAAAATAAAATAATTATCTTTGAAAATTATTTAACAAAATAGTTATTAAACAAATGTTTTAAGTTTT